TTCCACCATTTTCATTAAGACTATAAGTTCACAGTATCTCTAATCATTCTCATCTACTCACTACCATTTGATATCCTAATCACTTGCACAACATTTCATCATCCAATTCATGTTCTATATGGACCATAAAGCTAAGATAGCTCCAATAAGGATCTGATCACCATGTAGCAACAAACACTATCACTAACAATCATGAGATACTATCATGACCATATACACTATATTCCTAGAGCATTTCCCCACTTTTTGGAGGAGACTTCTTGGACCTGGGACATTGATCAAGGTGACAAGACCAAACAACACTTAGGGTGTAGACTTGCCAACACCACTTTTTGAGCTTTGTTTATATGTGGACATCACCACTAGACACAAGTGGGAATCATTATCACAAACAGCTTAGTCTGAGAGAAGTTGTGAACACTAATGACATATTGAGACTTCTAGACCATCACATTATCACTCAAGATCCATCCCATCACACTTCCATCATCCATCCATCCACATTCCATTTCATCCCATCCTCAAGAATCTTAGGTGAGCTTTTGAGCCAACATGAGGTGCTTTTGGGAGGTGTGGGAGCCTTAGAGTCAAAGCTTTAAGTTTGTGTTCTCACCTCTAAGCTCATATTTCCTTCTTTGTTTCAATTTTTCCAATTTCTTTTCTTTTTTCCATTTTTCTTCCTTAGAGATTCCTAGGAATCTTTACCTCCCAAGAGTTTAGTTCCTTTGTCAAGTTTCCCACCTGATTTTTCCTTGACCTTTGAACTTCATATCTCATCCCATTTCCACTCTTTCACTTCCCTGCAAAAAGGTTCTAAAGAGAGATTCTTATGTATTTTAAAAATGCTTTCCACTTTTTTTTAAATCATTTTCTAGAGTTGTATTCTTTTCTTTGTCTCTTTTTGAATCTTTGTAACTTCACTCCAGCAAGATACTAGCTCATAAATTATACCAATCAACACATCAAATAGATGTTGTAGGGTTCTTGCACTGTCAAGAGCTTTGTTCTATCCACCGTGGTTGGATTGTGGCCCCAAAATTCCTTGAAATAGAAAGAAAGTTATCACTTAGGAAGATTCCACCATTTTTTATAAAAACACTGCAAGTCATAAATGCAAGGGCACAAGGGCAAAGCATTTGAACGTTTGAGCATTGGAGCTAGAGAGTTTCTATAGTATTAGGGGGTGCTATCATCCCCAACACCTTAAACCTATGGTTTCCTTCACACATAAATATTAAGGATGTGGCTTTATCCAGATTGTTACCCACTAATTTTGACTAAGGCGTAGGTAATGCTAATCCACCCATTAGTAAAGTAGGACAAGGAAGTTCCAAAGCCTACAATGATGTCTAAAGCCCATGGTAATGTCTATATCCATACATGTATTTGTGGGGCTCTAAACTTGGCTTTAAGCCAAACCTTGTAGAACTCTTACAAGGAATGAGAACACAACATATAGCAAAGTGTACAAAGTTTGTTAAAGGGAAGATTTGCCACTATTTTCAAGACAAACTCTTCATCTAAAAACATTTTAAAATCTTCCCAAGATAGTGTCACTTGGTACTACTTCAACCAATTCAACATTAACAAGAGGAATGTGCTTCTATTCTGGTACCTCTATGATGAAAAAGTAATAATCAAAACATCCTTGTTCCATGCAATTATCATTAAGTGGGAGGAAACTTTCCCTTATAACCATTGATTAGGTTTAGGTCTGCACCCAAGAAAACCCCTAAAACACTCTGATAATGGAGGAAAACTTATTGCAAATCATGATAAGTGCCACAAAAAGATTGGTAATATCTACTACATGCAATTATCACTTCTGAGTACCAAGAACTTCTAGACATATGAAGAGCTAACCACCTTGAGTCATTCAGATGGAAAAGAAAATGGCAAATATAAATCCATTGATGCCAGAGAACTGATATGCCAAATTGTACTGTATCTACCAGCAAATACTATACGAGCTTAAGTGGGATAACAAAATAGTATTGGAAAGGAAATAGGTGTAAGGAATTCTTTCAGTATGAAACTAAGTTGGAGAGGGACTTCATTTATACCCTAACTTAGTCTACCTTTATTAAGAAAGCTAAAGTCCAATCAATCCACTTCTATAACTTCATTAATGCATTAATAAGATTTGGAAGAGTTGGTGGCTTACTTAACAACAGTGGCTTCCCTCATTAGTAACTATACACCTCTTGATTAGAGCTTGTAAAGTTTGCAATGCCACAAAAATGTAATATCACATTTTGTGGGAATGTTTAGTAGAATAGAAGGGCTCCATAGTGATTATGAAGTGTAATTGCCAAGGAGGAGTAGAAATCACGTGCTTTGGGGTGTCTTCGTCCAAGGGAAGATAAAACACTAAAAGACTTGGAAATAAAAACACAGTGAGGAATCTCACTTTGATTAACTCAACCTTTCATATATACATATTATGCATATTTTATAGGAGCTTTTTGATGTTCTTTGAGGATGTATACTTGCAAAGATTTAGAAGGCTCGTTACACTAAATTATTCAATGACAAGAACCCTTAGCTTGAGCAATGAACTTGAAGGTCTAGTCCAAATTAATAGTCTCTTTAGAAACACAATTGGATGTGATTAAGAAAAGAAGAGATGAAAAGAAGATTGCATAAGAATGAACATTCTAGCCCTTTTTTAGAGAAGTGAGGCTGGAAAAGAAAATTGAACATGGAAACCATTTATTGTGGTTCTGGCAGCATGTCTAAGAAAGATGACATGTGTATTCCCTAAGTTCTTTAAATTTTTCATTAAGTAATTCAAGCATTTGGGATGTATTATCTATAAACCCCATCCCCCTCATCCCTCCCCTTGCTTTTGACCTACTCTTGGCATCTCTATGGTTTTTTAGAGGTTAATAAATAAATAAATAAATAAATAAATAAAAAACCTCATTGATAGAAAGGTTGATGATAAAATTGATAGAATGCCCCTTAAATCAGCTATATATCAAAATTGAATAGGGACATGATGGTGAGCTCATTGTGTCTCCTAAAGTTGCAACAAATGTTAGTGACATGAATGAGAATGTGGGAGCACTCAAAGTAAAGTGCACTAGTATTGATATAAATTGGCCCTTCAACACAATGTGACTTGTAAGTCTTGACTCACTCCACCATGGTGAAGAAGACAAATGCCATATATTTGGAGCATTTTGAAACACTATAGATTTTTGCCCCACACCCTCTAAAACACACTTCTACTGATTGGTGTTTGAAGTTTTGACAAATAATGTGGGGGCTCTTCAACCATCCCTTCCCACTGAGCTTCCATCTCCTATTATTTATATTGATCTAAGAGATAAACTTGTCTTAATTCTAAAGAACAAATGACTCCTTGACCCTAAGTAAGACTCATATTCATAAACTTACTAAGATGCTCCTTGAATAACATCATTGGAATTTCCACCACTTAATCGAACATGCCCTTGATAGTCATTAAAATTGGCTGCAATAGAGAATCCACTCCCTCCTAAAAACCTTGAATAATGATCTTAGATCCTCTTGTTTGATCATGTTTATGTTTTTTTTTTCCCCCTACTCAAAAACAATCCCATTTGTGTATTTGATTCTTTATCACATGGAAGATGGATTTGGGAAAATGCATGATATAATTGTATAATTAAGTGATAAAAAATTAACTGAAATAACACTAAAACTATCTCATAATTTTTTACATACAAATATTTTTAAAAACTTTTAACTAGTTTTGTGATGAACACAATAATATTTTAAAATAAATAAAAATTAATTAATTTTATGGAAACATTTTATTATTTTAATCATTTTTTACCATTTTTCTGTACCACTTAATTATTTACACCCACCATCTTAGGCTCCTTATATAAAAGATGTTCTCACTATCATTGCCATTGGTGCCTTATAAAGTATATAACCTCCCCAATGGACTCAATTTTCTTAAAAATATTTATAGTTATAATTTATCTTCAATGGTTAATTTTAGATTATGTATATTATAACTTAAATATAATAAATTAAATCTATTACTATTGTTTTTCAGACATGTATCAATTTAAAAAGAGATGTGTAGAAGGATTAATCATTTCTTACTCATTAGAACAAATACTTAAAAGGCCAAAGAGAAAAATATTATTATTTAAAGATTCTTCATATTAGTGTTTTTTATTATTCAAGAAACACAACATTAATGTGGATTTATAAATTAGCTTTCTAGAATACAAGATCTGTTCTAGGAGATGGTGGAGGACAAAAGAAGAGAGAACCATAATTGTTTCTGACTAGGAAATTAAGATTCAAGTGAGATGTATGATAATAACCATGGGCATTTAGACAATCTCCCACCAAGACAGAATTTAATAGCGTGAAAGATTCCAGGTTACAAGAGCTTGGAAAATCAGCTCCCCAAGTCAAATATCCAAATGAATTAGATATACCATTAGCAAGATCAAGCAAAACATGAGCAAATCCTCCATCTCCGGTCTTGGTTCTTGCTCCAAGCATCGCAATTCCAGCTAGTGCATAAATCTGTAAGTGTATTTCAGAGGCACTTGCTTCAAATCTACCACATACATCCTAGTAAACAAGAAGCTTAATACTAATAAAGCGAAAAACTACAACCGTGAAATATATACCTCTGGAATTTGGTCTACACTAATGGTATCTGTAATGTTCATCCACAACTTAGTTTTATTTGTACTCCCAGATATATTTGTGCTGCTTGAGTTTCTAGCTTGAATTGAACTGTAACATATAAACAGGATTAGAAGGAACAATAGGAAGCACTTATCAAGAGCCATAGCTTGTTAGCTTGTTGAGTGAGATATGTATAATATAATTATATATAGATAGATAGATAGATATAACCTGGCAAATTGATTTTGTGTATTCTAAGCTTTACCAACTGTATCCTTTGTCAAGATTTACTTAAATGCATCTTGTGGATTGTTAGAGTTTCACACCAGCTTCTGGCTTGTCTTTAGCATTTTGTGTTTACAGATGTAGTTTTGGTTTAAATTAGTAAGGAAACAATTAAAAATGACATAGAGACAAAATGCCAATTCACGGAACGTGACGTCCATTTTCATCAGCCAATACACGCTGTGAAAGATACACCGTCGAAGAACTTCAAACTAAATCACTTTCAAAAAGTACCTGAAAGCAAGCGAGCGTGTAGCGTACATCATCCTCCGAAATGTGATAATGTGTCACCAGTCGGATACTGAAAAGAAACAAAACCAAACAAACCTTAAAAAGTAGGTTGAAAGAAATGAACAGGATACCTTGTCTTGGTCAGGTCATACGAGAGAATCCCAATCTTTCCCATAGCTCTGCACAGTTCTTCCGCTGTGAAGCGTGACTTGGTCACGTCCACATTTACCTGGAAGATAAAATAGCACCAGTCAGGATAAAGAGGGAGAGCAAAATCGTGACACTTCACAATGTTTGTCTCGACTGCGCTCATGTCCACCTGCAGGCCTTTCATTCCACACAATCCTTCTGGAAACATTCCACTCAAGAATTTTGATAGTGGCCCAAGAAAAGCACGAACTACACAGTACCTGCTAATAGACGAGCATTGGAGTGATCTTCGTACAATCTGCAAACCATGTCTTTCAGCGCTACCAGACCAGGAGCAGCCAGTATTCCTACTTGTCTCATAGCTCCACCCAAAGCCTTTCGCAGTCGTTTAGCCTGTCCCAAAAGGATTTCTCTTCAGAAAATGAAAAGAACACAAAACGAAGCAAAGAGCCGTCTCTCAACCTTCTCAATGAATTCATGCGATCCAACAATCACACTTCCCGCTGGTGCAGCCAATCCTTTTGACAAGCAAACCTGACACGAAGCATTCGTCAAAATTGCCATGAAAACCTCGAGAAAAAACAGTCATACCGATACAGTATCAGCTGCTCGAACAAGTCTTTCCGGAGACACCCCCAGAGCCTGTTGAAAGCAAACACTGTTTTTTTAATATTTCTGCTTCATCGCAGTCAGCACTACTCACTGTGGATGCGTTAAAAATTCGGGCACCGTCTACGTGTAGTCTCAATCCATATCTCTTGGCAAGCTGGCCAACCTGATCCGTGTACTCAACCGAGACGCATCTTCCACCGCATCTAAGAGGTAGTGCATAGCAAAACTATAAGCGAGCACTCGAAACATTCCAGAAACCACGAAGAAACTCTCACCGGTTGTGAGTGTTCTCGATGCAAATCAAGCGAGTCGTCGCAAAGTGCTCGTCGTCCAAAGGCTTGATAGCGTTTTCGACCGCCCTCAAGTCCATGGTTCCATCCGGATTGTTTGGAACAATGCTCGGGAAAACACCGCCCAGCGTTGCCATTCCACCTTGCTCGTAAACATTGATGTGGCTCTCAGACCCGATGATGGCCTCGCTTGCACGGGCCTGGGAAGAAACAAGAAAAATCCACGACCAAAGAACGCGACAATGCCATGCATCATGCTTACCTCACAGTGAACAAGGACGCTGATGAGATTCCCCATCGTACCGGAAGGAACAAACAAGGCGGCCTCTTTCCCAAATATTCTAGCCATTTCCTTCTGGAGCTCGTCCATGGTAGGATCGACCGTGACAATGTCGTCATCAACCTCGGCGCTGGCCATGGCGGCTCGCATCGCCGCTGTCGGCTTGGTGATGGTATCCGATCGAAAATCCACGATTCGTTTCGTTCCATTAGCTCCACAATCCATGGCTGACGAGCAAAATCTGTCCACAACGGAATATCTCGCAAAGAATCAGCTGGAACACATCGCAGCGCAGCGCCAATCCGGCGCCTTACCTCCCGCGAGAAGAATGCTAGGGATGTTCTTCCCCGCCTGCAAAAGCCCTGCGAGCGGTTCTCTCAAGCAATGGAAAGAAGCTTTTTATACCTACATGCCCGGAAGCTAAAATGCTGCCACGCGACGGCATCCAGCGCGCCACGTGTCCGGTGGGGATGACACCATGGCAAGAGACACAAACGTAGTATTATCCATAAGAACAAGCTTCTTTGTTTTTAAGCTACGCTATCTTTGATCGAGAAGAAACTATGGTTCTCTTGGATGATCTTCAGCCCCGGGTCTTGGATTTCTCGAAGAACGATTCCTGGCAGTGAGGATCCAGCCACTCTCCGGAGCTTTTCCTGGGTGTTGGTGTTGTCACTGGCCTGACTTGCGAGGATTTGGCACCAACGAGATCGCAAATGACTTCCACCTTGTTCTCCCGTCCAAACGTCCCATTGCTCCGGTGGTCGGCATCCCTGAGCTTCTGCTTGAAACGCTGCTTCTTCCCCCCCGCGAAGTTCTCCTGGAGCGACGATGGCTGCCTTAGACCAGGCTTTGCACCGTGAGGGCCCAGGTAGAGATTCTCCACCTGTGTGTTTATCGGCTGTGTTTCAAACCAAAGTTAGAAAAAGAGAAAGATCTTTCCAGCGTGGTAGGCACACCTTCTGCAGTGTTGGCTTTAAAGTCTCCACAGCCTTCTCCGTTCTCGCTGTGGTAGTGGTGTTCAAGCTAGGAATCTCGAATCCCTCGGCATCTATGGAGAAACACGGAGAAAAACGTGATATGAGTCCCGACCTCTCTGCGACTACAACTAAAACTCCACTCAATCGCTCTGTTTCTCGCAGGGAGTGCGATATTTCCAGAGGAAATCTCGGCAAAACCTGGAGAACGCGCTCCACTTACCCCATTCATCGTCGTCCGGGAGCAGCACCGCTGGCGGCGCGGCGGGCGAGGCAGCCGGATCCATGGCGAGCACCCGAGGCTACGGCTCCGCAGCGCACGCCGGCGCAGCTCATGGAGAGCGGACAGACCAACACAGCTCCCTCTCGCGCGATGGCCGCTCTATCTAGCGCGCTCGTCCCACACAGTGCCGAAAACCCTAGCTCAGCCCTAGAGAGCGGCATACGGCTCATTTTTAAACTCGCGCACTAGCGGAATGTGCCTGCCGACCGCAACAGAAGATGCCGGGCAAGCGGAATATTCCCTACGCGCAAGGGTATATTCTCTCTTGTATTATCGTGGACAAAAGAAGAGAGAACCATAGTCGTTCATGACGGCATAGTTAAGGTCGGTTACGCTGCTCTGTGTTTCACCCTTTCCATCGTCGCAAGGGATCCTTATCCTGGTTCCGCTGATGGCAATACTTGAAAGATCACACGATTGTGCAAAGTCGCTACCGGCGGGGCCGATATGGCCATTGTGGTTTCCAAGACCATTGTTAAGTTCGAGCTGCACAGTCCCGGTGCCGCCACCAGGTGAGCTGCAGGTGGCCACCAACATTGCGATGCCATAGTTTGGAACTACGTGCAAGTGGATTCCCGAGCACGACAGCGAGAAGCCACCGCAAACGTCCTGCATACATCTCACAAGAATCAACATGCTGAAATGTGGAAGAAGCTGACAATTTTACTTGGGGCCAAGCTGTGATCTCTTCGGTGTTGCTGTCGCCCGTGGAAAATATCTCTAAAAACTGAGGCTTTTGACTGTAGTCGATCTCCGGCCAGGCGCTGTGGCTAGAACCAGTGCTGTTGTGCTCTGGCTGTGTGTTGTTCGTCACCAGGGGAGTTGCGACATGGAGAGAAAGGAAGACTAGAAACAATGGTTTGAAAACGAAGGAAACAGCGGCCATTATATAAAAATATAGATAGATGCTTTGCTTCCAAATAAATAGTTGCCTATGGTACTTGGGTTTGCTGCTTTAATAATTCAGAGACGTCGTTGCGATTGAAGCCAGCTCGCTATACAGAACAAAAACATCGGGAATAGAGACGTAGATTGTGCATTGGGCGGCTCAAGCTTTTCTATCTACATAGCTTTAAGACTTTGACCTTGCGAGAAAGCAAACCACCTTGCGAGACTTCCAATGGTTTTGGTGCTTTCGCTTTTAAGTTTTCTTTTACACAGTCCAAAGTGTCGTTATTCCCTTCCAAGGGAGATCTTAATCTATATCTCGAGCTTTACATGAGATCCAGCTCTATCTCTGTTAATTGGAGACTTTCAAGGCTTTGATGTAGAAACCTTGTAGAGATTTACAGTTCTTTAGTAACCAAGTACATTGTTTGCTTCCGAAACCCAGGTGACATAATCGCTCGGATCACTGAGAACAAAGTGGATCTGTTGTGCATCAACGACAATGAGAAAATAGAGATAAATGCTTGCAGAGAAATCACCTCACCTCGTTGATACACGAAGGAGGATCTTTGATTTCCTGCAACGCAATCCGAGCTCCTTCCCTCACGGGGTATCTGTTTTACGTAGAAAGCGCACGTCCTTTTTCGGAAAAAACAGCATTACGGTTTTGGTTACCCGTAAACGCCACAAGAAATCGGTGGAAACGCCAGACATTCCAGTTCAATCTCCTTTGCACGTTGCAGACAACGCCTACAAAGTAAAACAAACAAACAACAAAAGCGAAAAGAAAAAAAAAAGAAAAGAAAACGAACTTTGTTTCTGGAAAAGAAGCAAAGTTATGCTTTGTCTGAAACTTTACCTGTAAGTCTGAGCAAGCAATGTAGGCGTTTCCTCGGCTCCATCGTAGGCTGGTCCAACCGCATGAATGATCCTGTGCAATGGTAGTCTGTAAGCCCTGGAAGAACAAACACGCAAATCGTGTAAGAGAAACGATTAAAAACTGTGAGCTTGAAGACCTTACTTGGTGACACCGCGTTGCCAATGCGGCATTTCACTCCAAACTGATCGAGAGATTTTAGCATTGCACAGGCTTCCGCTAGAGATGGTCCAGCAGCGTTATGAATAGCTGGTGAAAGAAAGCAGGTATGATTAGTGAAGGAGCAAATGAAGAACAAGTAGTTCTTGCCTCGATTCACGCCAATTCCAGCGTTTAGCTTCTTGTTTGCGGGAGCAACCTTGCGACCAAGGAGAGAATCTATCAACGAGCGCAATCATAAAGAAAAAGCGAAGAGAGAATGCGAGAGAGTTACTTACAATCGCATCGCGCTGGCCAGGAACTCGCCACTGCGAAATGTCGCCAGTCCAGAAGACGAGCAAGAAGCTGGGCAGTCTGTACAGGACGCCCCCTTCCAGCCCCTCTTGCGATGTCGCCCGCTCCTTGGGCGCATTGGGAGGCAGCAACAGCGACGGCGCTGGCAAATCCTCATCGTATGTAAACCAGTGCTCGTCGGAGATGCATCTGACCTGCGATCGCGCGAGCGCTGGAACCCTCGCCCTCCTCCCCAGGCATCGCAGCATTTCCCCCCGGGCTTAGGGTTTATCATCGCTTTTCAAATTCTAGGGCTCATATAAACCCTAAGGTTATAAAACCTTTCAAATTTTAGGGTTCATAGAAAATGAAGAAGCGCCGAAAATCGGGGCCAGGGAACTCTTCCGATTTCCTCGAGAAATGGATTCGTGCGGAGGCGCTAGCTCCAGGCAGCAATCCCATGGCAATCAAGCTGCCCCGCCAGGTCCTGGTGAATCCAGCCACCGGCTTCAAGCCCTACGCTGGAGCCTCGCGGTTTGATCAGCTCCCTCTCTCCGGCAAGACGCTCAAGGGATTGAAAGAGGCCAAGTATGAATCCATGACAGAGATCCAGCGCGCAGCTCTTCCCCACGCTCTCGCTGGTCGTGATGTTCTTGGAGCAGCAAAGACTGGATCGGGGAAAACGCTAGCATTTCTCATCCCGGTAAGAGTTCACGAAGGGAACTCTCTTTTTTTCTCACATACTTTTCTGGCTAGCTAGTCGAGAAACTATATCGTCTTCGCTGGAGGAGTGGCCACGGTCTCGCGGGTCTCGTTATATCTCCAACGAGAGAGCTGGCCGAGCAGATCTTTCGAGAGCTTGGCAAGGTTGCAAAGCATCACAGGTTCTTGACACGAGGCTTGCTGATCGGGGGATCTCACGACGTTGGGCTGGAGAGCAATCGCGTCGGGGAGCTGTGCATCCTCGTCGCCACTCCAGGGCGTTTGCTGCATCACTTGCACCAGACTGCCACTCTCGACTGCACCTATCTCCAGGTACCGCTTCAAAGTTTGTTCTTGCTCGAGCTCGGAGTGTAAAGATCTAACTTTGCAAGGTGCTTGTGCTGGATGAAGCCGATCGGATTCTCGACTCCGGCTTTGCGAGAGAGCTGACAGACATCTTGGCTGCCCTTCCGAAACAGCGGCAAACTTTGCTCTTCTCAGCGACGCAGACGCGCTCTGTCAGCGATCTCGCGAGGCTCAGCTTGCGTGATCCGGAGTACCTCGCCGTGCACTCCGAGTCCGCCGTGGCGACGCCAGCCACCCTGCAGCAAAAGGTGGTGATCGTCAAGCTTCACCGCAAGATAGAGACCTTGTGGCGGTTCATAAAAACGCGGCTCTCGTCGAAGCTTTTGGTGTTCCTTTCCACCTGCACGCAGGTAAGTTGGCCCGTTTTCTCACATTTTCCGTCACCTTTCTAAGCAAAGATGATGTGAATCGTCATTCTTCGCAGGTGAAGTTCGTGTACGGGGCTTTCAAGCACTTGCGAGCTGGTGTTCCGCTCTCGTGTCTCCATGGCCGCCAGAAGCAAGGCAAGAGGGACCTGGTTTTCAGCAACTTCAATCAGGCCCGACCCTCGGTTCTCTTTGCGACTGATATTGCTGCGAGAGGCTTGGATTTCCCAGCGGTAGACTGGGTTGTCCAGGTACGTTCTTCTCTCGAGTTGTGTGATCTTAGCCGTGTTCTTATTTCCTTCGTCTTTGTTTTTGGAGGTCGACTGTCCAGAAGACGTAGAAACTTACATCCATCGCGTCGGAAGGACTGCTCGTAACAAGCTCAAAGGCAAGAGCCTCCTGCTTCTGGATCCATCGGAAGTGAAAATGATAGAGCTGCTCAGGCAGCACAAGATTCCTATCGAAGAGGCAGCGGAGGCTGCTCCGCGAGGGGAGTCTTGCGACTTGTCACAGCAGATAGGCGCGTGGCTTTCCAAGGATCCCGGACTCAAGCACAGCGCCCAGCGCGCCTTTGTCACTTACGTTCGCTCGGTCGTCCTGCAGCGGAACAAGGAGGTTTTCAACGTTGGCAAGCTTCCGCTACCCGAGTTTGCGTTCTCTCTCGGCCTGGCGATCGCTCCCCGGATCCGGTTCCTGGGAAAGCAGGCTGCAAGCGTGAAGAATGAATCCCAGTCCTTGAAGAACGAGCTGGCGAAGTCGTCCTCTTCGTCTTCCAAGGTGGCCGGAGAAGTTAAGTCTTGCGCGGCTGATGAAGATGGCGACTTGTTCATGCGGCTGAAGAAACGGGGAAGGGACGTGATCAAGCCAGCAGCAGCAGCAGCACCAGGATCTGTGAAAGCGTAAGTTTTTGTTCGGAGTTTTAGAAGATGGCTCATTGTTTTCGTCTTGCAGACATAAGAAGACGAAGAGGCTAAAGATTGATGCGCGAAGTGGTACAGGGCAACGTATGGTGTTCGATGAGCATGGAAGTAGCCAGGACGAGAGAGGAGGTAAGGAACTTTGGAGCTCCAACGCTCGAGTGATCTTGTTTAGATTTTGTAGGCGGTGTGGAAGAGTTTGATCGGGAGATCGCGGAGAGGTACAAGCGGTTGCAGCAGGAGATGAAGGAGAGGGACAGGCAAGACAAGGTTTTGGAGCGGCTGAGGCTGCGAGACAAGCGTCTCAAGCGAAAGGCGAAGGAGCAGAAGCTTGATCTTATTGACGAGGATATGTCGGAGCAAGGAGATGACAAACCGGAACTCCTCGACTCCTTGTCTCTAGCCGATCAAGAGGCCCTCGCTCTCAAGCTGCTAAGTCGATCAAACCATTGACGCTGGCGTTTTGTGTCTGCCACAAGAGGATTTAGTTTCGAGAAGAGAATTCGCTTTGCAAAGAACCTGTGATAGACGATCACGTCCACTTTGGTAACATGATGGGCATCTTTGTTGTCATCCTAGTCGAGAATAGTGTTAACGTTTGAAGTGATGGCTCTCTTTAGCTTGAGAAGCTCATCGATATCGCTCTGGACAACATCGAAGCCAACCTACAAGAAAAACGAAACTTGAGGTCCCTGAAGAGAAAAAGAAAAAACTAACCAGTCTAAAAACGCTGATGGCGCCAGTGCTGCCCCCGGCCAAGACGACTGGAGCGTCCTCCGAGAAGAGCAAGCACGAAAGCTTGGTATTCGCGAAAGGATATACAATGACGGGTTTCATCGCCGTGACAGCCATATCCCATATCTGTCGTAGAATCCGAGCTGAGAAAATTAGAAACAAGGATTTCAGTGCTTGCCTCTAAACGACCGTCGTCCGATACAGTCCCAAAAACGCACGAATGCTTGCAAGACCAGCGAATGTCGCCGACGCTTTCATTTGCAGTCTGGAAAACCAGCAATGCGCTTTCCTGCACTGAACATTCCATCCATTTGTATCAACGTAGACGCATCTATACGCAACGGCTTACTTGTTCTTCGCGCCAGAGCCGAACGCTCCAGTCGCTGCTACAGCTCAAGAAAATATATGGCAAAACGGTGGACCATCTAACCTGCAAACGAGATGAATCAATCACACATATATAGATAGCGGCATTTTGTTTACCTGAAAAACGGGTCCGGTGTGTCCTACGTAGCTTTGCAAGTATTGTTCGTTATAAGAACGACTACATTTGTGAATCAGTCCCTCCTCGGTCCCTACCAGATACAAGCTGGAATAGCAAAGCACACATTTATGACCAATTCGAGCACAAGAAAAGTACGTCGAAGTACCTTGGGTCCCGAGGAGAGAAATCAAAGCATAACCCTGCTGCATGACGGGATATGAATGGTTGTGGTTGTGCTCCTTTGCTATGAGCCATAATCTTTTTGAGTCTCATCAAATTGACGAACTCCAGATCCTATATTCGCGGTTAAGTTTCGCGGAGGAAACACCAAAAAAAAACTAACCTTTTTCAAAGACCACTGAGAAACTCTACCGTCGGTTGAAATAGATATAAGCGTCTCTCCATGGTCAGAAGTAGCATCGATCCATTGTAGCTTCCAAACAGGATCGTTATGCTTCCCCGTGGAAGCTCCTGTTTGCATCAACGGTTCCCGTTCCTTGTAATTCTTTGCATCATATACAGCCACATTCCCATCGTAAAAGCCAACTGCATAAAAAACGCCAATGAAGTCAGTTCAAAACAATCAGTAAGAGTACTGTTACCTGCAAGGAGGTTGGGACTATTTGTAGAGAAATCCAAGGCTGTGACATCAGAATGTGTTGGTATGGTTGCGTGAGGGTATCTCGGATTTTTTAAAGACCAAAACGCTATAAGACCGCCCTTTTGCGTCCCGAACTCAAACTCTCCGTATCCTACACTAAGGAGATCCCTGCTGGTCTGCGAAAAACGTGCAACAATGTCGGTAAAAAATGGGAAAGGCAAAACCTCTCGCACCTTGTTCCACACCATACAGCTGACATTCCTCCCTTCCGTAAGGTCGCACTGGAAATCCCAAAGTTTGTGGACTTGTTCTGCTGAGAGAACATCGCCGCTGGTACCATTACTGCTGGGAGACGAGGACGCACTTTTTGTCTGAGATACCGGCGAACTAGAGCTGCTATATTTCCGTGGCATAATCCGCTTCTGTTCTCTTGGTTTAAAATCTCGGTAGAACAAAAGCTGCAAAGACACTTGGAGGCCTTGGCAGAAGTATCGAAATAACGTCAAGATAATTACCTTGTCATGAAAAGTGTTCAAAACGACTGCTCTCTCGGCGATTTCCAAGGCTTTGACAAGTCCGGCCAAGCGATTGATATCCACCTTTCGGCTAGCAAACATGGTGAGAGTCATAAGCTCTTCCGCCCCAAGCATGCCTTCGCCACCAGCTCTCTGCATAGTGTTTGAGATTATGGAGCTTCTTCTCTGTGTTCCCATCAAGCTTCCACGGCCGGATAGCCTACGATTGAACATAATGCTGCCGCTTATCGATTTCTCAATACTTCCCCTTCGCGAGGTTGAAAAGCTTCCTCGCCGTGAGGGTGATATGCTCGCAGTAGTAGAGCCTCTTCTCGACGGTGCAATGCTGCCTAGTCCCGATCCTCTTCTAGTCGAAGGATCTATACTTAACAGTCCAGACTCCCTTCGGGATGGAAATCCACCAATTCCAGACCCTCTTCTTGAACCGGGTAGATTCAAATTTCCAGACATTCTTCGACCCTGTGAATGTGATTTTAGATAAAAACTGCCACAGTCTTTTACATACCTGTAATAAGGGAGGAGGCTCACTAGCTTCTTCCAAGTATCCCGCAGATACAAGATCAGCAACACTCTTTCTGTGGTCAGCGGTTTGTTCGGATTCGTCGTCGTCCTCAGTTTTCAAAGGATCAACTTTTTCTTCTTTTACATTGCCGGAGTAAGAATCTGAGATGTCCCATGAATTTGCCTGTCAACTGGCAGAAATGTGAATGAGTTGTACATCAAAAAGTAACATGCCGAAGGAACAACTTGGCACCTGACACTCTTCAGATTGTTTTGGCAGTGCAAAAAACTGCGCCTCCTTGCATTTTTGCAAGCTCAAAGCCGTTTGAGCGCTGGAGTCCGAGTAGTTATCGCTACCTATTTTAGCCTGTAGACAAGAGCACGCTACACTATATTTAAGAATTAAAAAGCTGAAAGTAAAGAAATGTAGCTTACTTCCAAAAGATTTTTGTATCGAGCATTTCGCTCCAAAACTTGTTTGATTGTATCGTAAGTGTTTGACACACTCTCGCCTCTTAAATTGATCAGAACAAGTGTTTCACTCTCCACCAGATTCACGGTTATATTTCTTGCAAGTTCCTGCTCACATTGAGAGGTAAGAAAGATATTAGAAAATTAACGTGCCTAACCTGTTCCGTTGGAGGTGGCGCAATGCTAGTCGTGACAATTTCGATACGCTGTGTCCTGACCGGCAAAGCCTCTTGTGGAACTTGAGGAACACTCGATCGTCGGCCACCACCCTCTGCAGAAGGTTCTTTCTCAAGGCCATCCTCGGCTTCAAGATCCGGAGTGAGGGTTCCCAAGCTACTGCCGATTGAGTATCCAGTGCGGCTGTAAGCAAAAAAATCTTTAGATAGAACAACGACTGAAACGCCTTCTAAAGACCACTTGAACTGGACCTGAAGGTAGATACTCTTTCGGAATCAGGAGAAAACCGCTCAGGTGGAGCTTGCAACAGTCTCTCGTGCAGTACAGTCGGCCTTAGAGATACTAATGGTTTCGGTGTGACTTCTTTACCATTCTCATCAAAGACCTAAGCGAAAGAGTTTCACAGACTTTCATACTTCGCAAGCAGCTCTATGACAATAAGAAGGCCAAAAAAAAAAAAACATACCTGGATCACCTCTGGCTCATTCTCGCCTCCTTTGATATTCCTGCGCGTCCCTCGCCCGGCTCGAGCAGTAGAACGAATGCTCTTGGTGCTCTTTCTGCAACAAGGGGAAATAAGTGCGCTGCATTCTCTAAATCTATTGCGCGAGCAATCCATGGCGCGAGCATTGCTTACTTGGATGTGAACGAAACCTGAGAGCTAGCCGAGAGCCGCCTGGATCGCATCGACGAGACCGATCCAGCGACCGACGCGGTTCCATCGCCACCTCCTCGCTTGAATTTCTCGAGCGCGAGGCCTAGAACAGAGGGGCTGAGCGACGGCCGCATCTGCGACAGCGATCCCCGCCTCCCGCCATCGTCATCCATGTCGCAAGACAATCTTCCCTCCCAAGAGCCCTAGAAATATTTCTCTGTTCTCTAGAACCCTAAAATTGCAGGGGATAACTACTTGGTCAACCAGTCAACTCCGTTATACTAACGGACCCCGTGGAAAATGTAGCGCGCTCCGTTTGGTAGACGGAGCAAAGTTTCCGTTAGTTTAGACCAAGTGTGTCTCGAGCTGGCCGGCCCTCATTCATTCATGCATTCAATAGTGGTGTAGTAGTGTGCTCTTGTCAAAGGGTTGTTCTTCCTCCCATCAGGGTTTGGTGGATCGCGCCATTGATCGATCGATCGGCGCTAGGGTTTGGAGGAAGCAGCGCATCTCTCAAACGGTGAGTCCGGGGGGCCATTTCGCGGATTTCTCGCGAGAAATCCGCGAGTTTCGGGCGTGGGAATGCGCGGGCGGCGCTGGCCAGCGATGATCGATGGGACAGGCAGCCTGAGCAGGGAAGCTAGTGAGAATGCGTAGGAGGAAAGGGAAAATTTCCAACTGGAGCCTGGGAATTTTCATCGATCCTGCCAGTGATGGATTTGCCGGCTCTTGGATGGAAGTAGAGATTTCTAGCAGTGGTGTGGGATGGGGCAGTGCTACGGCAAGGTTGCCGTGACCGAGGATTCCAAGCCCGAGGAGAAGGAGGCTTCATACGCTAGGCAGGATTCCCGGCAAGGAGCTGCGTCTCCATACTCGGTTAAGTCCCATTCTTCTCCATTTCCTCCGGCGAGTCCGCTGCCCAAGTTTGCGAATTCGCCATTCCGGAATTTCGGTACCTCTCCGGCAACTCCAAGACGATTTTTTCGACGACCATTTCCACCTCCTTCTCCGGCGAAGCACATCCAGGCTGCTCTCGCCAAGCGGCATGGGACTGCCAAGCCGAAAGAAGGATCCATTCCAGAGGGAAGCGATGTGGAGAAGCCTCTCGATAAGAACTTTGTGTATGGGAAGAACTTCACGTCAAAGTACGAGCTGGGACACGAGATTGGCCACGGTCACTTTGGGCATACTTGTCTGGCGAAAGTAAGGAAGGGGGAGATGAAAGGGCAGTCGGTAGCAGTGAAGATCATAGCCAAAGCTAAGGTACTTATCCTCGTTGTCCATAAGGTAACAGTGGAAATAATTTATTTTGACTGGTGTCTAGATGACAACAGCGATCTCAGTGGAAGATGTGCGAAGAGAAGTGAAAATACTCAAGGCTCTCTCGGGTCACCAGAATCTCGTCCGGTTTTACGATGCGTGCGAGGACAATCTAAACGTCTACATAGTGATGGAGTAAGACTTGTCTCTCACTGAATCGGTTTCTATTTTTTGTCTTAAAAACTTTCTCGGTTATCAGGCTTTGCGAGGGAGGAGAACTCCTTGATCGGATATTATCAAGGTTTGTTTTTGTATTTTAGTTCGTTGTCAGTAAGCTGATCCAGTTTATTGTAATCAGGGGAGGGAAGTACACTGAAGAAGATGCTAAGGTCGTTATAGTACAGATTTTAAGCATTGTTTCGTTTTGTCACCTCCAAGGTGTTGTTCATCGAGACTTGAAGCCGGAGGTAATTTTGTTTTCTCTCTCCAAATGTGTTCGTTTATACCTCGGCTGTAGAACTTCCTCTTTACTACTAAGGACGAGAATGCAACTTTGAAAGCTATTGACTTTGGGCTATCAGATTTCATCAAGCCAGGTACGATGCAGCGTTTCGTTGCATTGAAGATATGGTTGTTGACTTGCCTTCCATTTTATCATTCCAGAAGAGCGGCTAAATGACATTGTTGGAAGCGCTTACTATGTGGCTCCCGAGGTCCTTCACAGATCTTACAGCACAGAGGCAGACGTTTGGAGCGTTGGTGTTATAGCCTACATCCTTCTTTGCGGCAGCCGTCCATTTTGGGCAGACACCGAGTCGGGAATTTTCCGAGCGGTGATTCAAGCGGAGCCGAACTTTGTTGATAAACCATGGCCGACCGTTTCTCCCGAGGCTCAAGACTTCGTGAAGCAGCTCCTTCACAAGGATATGAGGAAGAGGATGTCAGCAGCGCAGGCTCTCAGTGAGTTTCATCTTTCTCTGTTTTTCAGTCAGGTACTGACTAGTTCTTGTGTGCTGGACAGCCCATCCTTGGATACGTGGGAACCATAAGGTGCCATTGGATATGCTCGTGTACAGATTAGTGAAGGCATATCTGCGCGCATCTTCTCTCAAAAGAGCAGCATTGAAGGTACTGCGCAAGTTAAAGTTCTGTGAGGATCTTAAGTTTTCTCTCTAGGCGCTGTCTAAAACCCTGACAGAGGATCACATGTATTATTTGCGATGCCAATTCGCGTTGTTAGAACCAAACAAAGGAGGGCGGGTTTCGTTCGAAAACTTCAAAACTGTAAGCTCATGTGGATTTCACAGCTCTCTGTGTGCTTAAGACGGTTTTTTCCCCGTGACAGGCTTTGATGCGTAGTGCCACTGAGGCCATGAAGGAGTCGCGGGCGTTTGAGATCCTTTCTTCCGTCCGTTTCTTCCAGAAAACATGATATCTTATACTAACAGTCGCTGTGACAGATGGACGCTCTGGCTTTTAAAAAGATGGACTTTCAGGAGTTCTGCGCTGCGGCAATCAGCGTGCATCAGCTGGAAGCGTCCAGTGGCTGGGAGACTTTGTCTCGCACAGCCTACGATACATTTGACAGGGAAGGCAATCGCTTGGTTATCATCGAAGAAGTTGCTCGGGTACGCCAAAGTTCTAGTTTTTTATACTTGGTTCTCGCTTTTCAATGCGAAACTTTCTTCGTTTGCAGGAGGTAGGCCTTGGACAAACAGTCCCCGCTCATCTAGTATTGCGTGATTGGATTAGAAGTGATGGGAAACTTAGCTTGATTGGATTTAAAAAGCTGCTTCACGGTGTCACGTCGAGGGCTCGCTCCAGGTTGCAGTAACTTATAGAAGCAAGCAAGCAAGAAAAAAGTGAAGAACAAGAGCGAGAGAGAGAGAGAGAGAGAGAGTTTCCAAATTCTTTGGGAGGGGGGGAATTGAGATCGATGGTAGCTTCTCCATTTTATAGTGATGGAGGGACGCCTGGCATAGATCATAGATTGTTTATCTAGCTAGATATGATACAGGGAAGAAGAAGGAATTTCCAGGCGCTCAAAGTTTACATTCTTTGGAGATTTGGCGGAGATTTGTGTCAACCACCAATGTGACACGTAAGCAGAGAAGGAAAACGTGGAAGTTTCGAGCGTTGAGATATCGCATTCCTGTGCCAAACGATCCACAGTAATTAAACTTTACATTTTTTTGGCACACCACCACCTTGTGATGGAGGATTGTCGATTTCTTTCGTGATGTTTCCAGTGAATTTCTACGCACGACTTTCTTCCTGCTCAGTCCCACCAGAGAAAAGAAAAAGCGATTAAATTCGAGAAAGCGAAAACTCGATGAAGAGTTTTATACTCACCAGGAAGGAATGATCACAGCCTCCACAAGCAATAAACAAGCTTTTCCTTTACATCTAAGACTTGCATTAAAAAAAAAGGGTAAAGAATCCTTTTTACATGTATACTACCCATGGCCATTTTATTCTCCCTAAGCACACACTCCCAAAAACGAGACTTTTTGTTTTTGTATACTTATCTACAGACTGTCCTGACTCTTTTGTTGAGAAGATCTCAACACACACACACAGACAATACATACACTCACAACACAGTATAAGGAGAAAGAATGTCGAGTACCTGGGGCTACGTCTCAAAAGTCTCACCATCTTCGGGCTCTTGATCTGGAATCATGGTCATTAGCATGTTTACCTGGCCCTGGAGCATGCTGTTCTCTCGCTCCATCTGAGCACGCTTCGTTCTCTCCTGCTGGAGCTGCATTTGGAGGTGCTCCATCGTCCTCGAATCCTCCTCGAGTTGCTCGTTTAGCTCAGTGATCTCCCGGTCCTGGATCACAAAGTATATCAGAACCAGCGGCAAACTCCGAGAAAGGAAAGAAGAAAAGAGCAATGCATGGAACAAGCAGTGCATGGATAAAGCTAGCAAAGCACACCAACGAACGAGAAAACGAACCTTGCGGTTCATTTCTTGCACGGCAATGCGTCTCATGCTCTCCACCACATCAACATTGACAAGCTTCCTCTTCTTGCCAATCACCCAACCTCGGGGATACGTCGCCGTCTCGAAGTCTGGAGGGGGGAGGAAGCTCTCGAGCGATGATCCCTGCGCTTGTCGACCCGTGGAAGGCGCAAGAGGCTCGTAGAGAGCTCTCTTTCTGTCTGTCAACGGGAACTCGTCCTCTAGAACGATGTTGCTATCGTCCTTGTCTAGTTTCTTACTCGCTGATAGCCTCAACTTTGCCGGTTTTCTCGATCCCAGAGGTGGTGTATGGATCATAAGTTCCTCTGGAAAGCATTTGCCAACCAGTAAGATCATAAGCTACTTATGAAACACAATGAGAAACTTTCAAGCAACTTGGCCTAGAAAGAATTGTGAAAGAAAGAAGGAAAGACTAGCAAGCAAGCAACGCTCCAAGAAAGCAAGGAGAAGAAAAAAAATCTTCCAATGCATGGATAAGTACCTGGTTTTCCGGAAGTAATTTTGGGATCGATTTCCATTGGCTTGGCTGCTACTTCCAGCGCCATCTCCCTAAAGATTTACCAATCCCACACACACAATCAGCACATTTTCTTTGGCTGCCGAAGGAAATCCCAGCGCAATGGCGGCTGCCGCGAGCTCGGAATCACCAGTGTAAAATGCCGAGAAAACCCTATGCCTTGCCGACGAACCTGGCCCAAGGGATCTAGCTCGCTAGCGCCTCCATGGAAGGAATCGAATCGTAATCCGACCGATGCACGCCGCAGGGGATCAGGGCTAGCGGGACGGGACTGAGAGTGGCACGAAGAAGTAAAAAGGAAGCCCAATGTGCGCTGTTGAACGCTTACTTTCCACGCGAGCTGGCGCATCGCGACCGTTGAAAGGAATTGCGACAGGGATCTGAGCCGTCGATAGATAGGGTGGTTGGTTCAAGTACTAACTAGTGGAATATCCGTATTTAAGAATAAATTTGGATATATATCAAACGGCGGTTTATATAATACATTATTAATATTAACATAACTATCATATTTTCAAATGTATGGTTATGGTATTGTATATTATTATTAGCATAATGAATTTTGTGATTGGTTTCAATCCAAACCACTCATTCTTCTATATAAACTTTCATTGAATATACAATGTTCAAATAGTTTTAAAATTTGGCAGAATAATTTATTGAATCACATTGATGATACTTTGAAAAATAACTTACTGTAAGTACATTTGGTTGATAAGTAGTTCTTTTAACTTAGCCTCCAGAAAATCATTTATTTTTGGGAAATTTGTGTTGTGTAATAATATGTATTTTATATATATTTATACAGGAACTTCCTATGATACTAGTTCATATATAAATTTAGATAATATAGATTAGAATATTTTCTAAATATCTATGGCTTTAGTTGTGCAAATCATTTTTACATTGCAATTGATCCTCTTGCTAATCTCATGTTCTTATACATATGGGTTGGAAAATGTAAAATCCAATAATATCACTCTTAGTAATGCTAAAAATCCTTTCATGACCACAAATAAGACCATATTATGAATGAATATAAGTGACATTTCTAAAAGCGTGGATGAAATACCAGATGTAAGTCATGTTTTGCTTCTATTGCTTTTACTTATAAAAGTTTGTGACATTTTCCAGTTTGTATGTGGGAGATTTGAAGCAACATGTACTAATATCCATCTGCATGTTTATAAAGCTTTAAAAATTATAATACTTGCAGCAAAATGTGATTCTGGGGATGGTGGATATGGGAATGTAATGTTGGATATTAATAATGGTATAAGTAACCAATATAGAAGGCCAAATAGAAGAAGTGATTTCACTGACTCTTGCAATATAGATTCTGTTCAGCTACATGGTTCAATCTTTGTAGCAAGTTGTAAGAATAAAGATTGTTATCTAGATACTTCTTATCTCCACTTAAACTTCCTTGTGATGAATGTTTTTGGCTCTTTGTTCTTTTGCCCTTTACCATCTCCTAGAATTGAACTGATTTATTTTCTATTTTATTATTAAGATTTGTGAGGGCTAAGTGTACAGCTATGATGCTGTATACTAATATTAGTGTAGTGGGATTTTGGTAGTCGTTAGATCTTGCTCCTATATATAAACTAGGGTTTTTTGGGCTAATTGATATGCACATTTTTTGTATTCCCTTTCCATATTCCAAGCACTCACATTGCTAGAGGTGAGGGGCACTTTTAATTGTCCTTGAGGAGTGTTTGGATTTAGGATTTTGGTTTAGATTTAGCTTTTGCATCGTCTAGATCTAGTTTTTTCCATTTCTTTTCTTTTGTTCTTTCATTTCAGAGTTTTGATTTAGATTTAGCTTTTTGCATTGTTTAGATCTATCATTTCCTTCTAGCTTTTTATCATTTCTTTTCTTTTGCTCTTTCTTTTTTGTTCATCTTCATGGCAGATCAGCAATCTCCTCCTCTAACTCTAGAGCAATAGTTGGTACAATTGCTTGATGCTATGCGTTTGCAATTGAACAACCAAACTCAGTTGATGGTAGCGTTCATGGCATGTGGTACAACTCCTCTTGCTCTTGGTGCCATCCTCACGTTTGGTCGGAGTTCTTTTGCAAGAATCTTGGGGATGATGTGTATTATTGGTTTGATCACTTTACGGTGATTGCCCCATATCATTTTTGGGATGATGCTTGACGTTCGCATGAGTTTCCCATGTGTCATCAAGGGACGGCGTTGCAATGGTACAATGGTTTGAGCACAGCCACTCGTGGGGATTTGAGTGTTCTCCTGGACATCTTCAAATGCACCTTCGAACATGCCGACGACTGTGATGATGCTTTTCAACAATTGCATCATCTTCGCTAAGGGCCATCTGAATCAGTGATGCAAATTTAGCGTTTGTTTCCGAAGTCTTTTGCTTCGTGTGGAGCCAAATATATCGAAGTAGATCAAGCTAGGAATGTTGTGGCCAGCACTTCGTCAAGATCTTGTTGGACTTGTGCATGCACTTGCTCTTGCCACCCTTGACGATGCTCTTCGCTTGGCACAACATTATAAGATGTCACCTCTTCCATTTCTCGCTGCACATCCTTCCATTCCACTTCCTATGGGTGATGGTCCTGTTCCAATAGAGGTTGATGCTACTGTTGCTCGAGTCCAAGGACAAGCGTGAGGACGTGGTCATGGCCATGATGTTTGCTGCTGGGCGTATGATGAAGTTGGTCATATTTATCAGCGTTGTCGGCATTTTCTGGATTGGTGACCTCCATTTCCTGGGTGGAGACTTTGGCGTCAGCAACGTCCCGTTAGTGCTATTGCAATGGAAGGTCTGGACACTGAGATGCATCCGGGAAACAAAGAGTCGCACGAGTAACGGATGGACCTTGCGTGAGGTTCATTCAGTGTTTACTTTCAAGGCTCATTTTTATAACAAAAGGTCTCCTATTATTCTCTCCGTGTTAGTTGATACAGGTTTATCTTCTATTGTTCGACCTGTTGCCACACATTGTCGTCTACACTTGCGTCGTGTGGCAGAACCAGTTTTCATTCTTTATAGCAATAACCATACACATGCATATGCACGGGATGAAGTGGATATGTGGGCGATCTCGAGCGTGAGTTGCAGTCGTTGCGGGTGGTGCTGAGTCAAGCTTTTGACCTCATTCTTGGTATGAATTGATTGCTAAGTGTGACTTTGAGGATTCTCCCCCTTGTCTTATACTTCCTTATGTTTCATCTATTCCTTTTACTTTTGTACCTCTTTGTTTTTCTACTTCTACCTCTGCTTCTATTACTTTTGTTCCCCCACTATTTCCTTCTGTGTTTCCCTCTTGTTCTGCTTTTCCCTTTTCTGATTCCTCCGACGATGTTTGTGTTGCAGCGGTTGACCAGCTCATGAAGGAGTATTCTGATCTCTTTGAATTTGACCTATTATCTAGGGCCAAGATTGCCACACGTTATCCGATTCTAACCAAGGATGCTCGTCCAATCAAGGTTTCTATTTGTCGTCGGTCACCCAAGGAGATCAAGATTTTACATGCAAACGTCAAAGAGATGTTGGAGAAGGGTGTTATTCGAAAATTGCAGAGTTCTTGGGTATGTGAACCTCATCTTGTAATGAAGCCTGATGGGAGTATTCGTTTCTACATCAACTATCATCCGTTAAATGAAGTGACGATCCCAGATGTGTACCCTTTTCCTCATATTGTTGATCTCTTGGATCG